GTAATTAGATGTAAGTTGTTTATTTTTTAAGTGTTTCACTTTTGTTGTTTGTCGCGTCTGAGTTTATTCTATGGGGTTATAGTTATAACTCCGTTTTGAAATTGTTGTGTCTCCATTTTGGAGTTTTACGTACTCTGCAGGTGATTTTTACTCCTTTGGTTAACCATATGATTTTAAGGGTTGGATCTAACCTTTGTGCTGATTATTGTGGTGTCAGTTGAAACCTCAAGTGTACTCCTTTTTAGTTTTTCAATTTTCCATATATTTATCATTTTTGCCAAAATAAAAATATATTTTTACTAGTTTATCAAATTTTAATCACTAATACCTCTATTACAAATTGGTAAATTTCACCCTATTACCCACACCTAACACCAAGATAATACTTGGTCAATTTCATTCTACTATCAGCACTAGCTTTCTATCATTGATAGACTCACATCTATAATCATTAAAAAAAAAAAAAAAAAAAAAAACCCTAGTATGGAAAAGCCAGCTTTTCCCTCTAAAGTTTTTTAAGTATTAAAGTAAAAATAATTTTAACTGGTATTTTTCTTATCTACCAACATTATTCAATATATTTAGTATAATACGTACACAGAAACAATATCTACACTACTCCGCCAAAATCTGTCTCTAAGATTTAGTATCAAATAATGAATTTTTCCAGAACTTTAGATAAGATCATCTCTAATGCATTCTTCTGATAGAGTAAAAAATTATCCATCTCATTTAGATAGAAAGCGTGTGAATAATTTATCCTCCAATGCATTGGATTATTATGGGCCCTTTTCATGCTTATGTGTAAAAACTTAATGTTGACATACTCAAGCGTAATTATTTGACACAAATACGGTAAAATTTTGACCTTTTCATAAACTTGAAAAAATTCCACCCTTCCATCAATCTAAGAAAATTTTTGAGAATTTATTTGAATACATTAGAGTCATTTGATGAGTTACAACTAAAATTTAAAAAAAAAATATATATCAATAATAATGTCTTGAAAAGTAAAATATTTGTGTTCATGATATTTGTTTGTCGAGTCCTTGCAATTTTAATGATATGTGGATTTCTTCTGGACCGATTAAAAAATATTTACTGTGTGATTATATATATTGTAACTAATAAATTATTGATTAAATAATAATTGCATATCTGAATCAACAAAAATAACAATATGCATATAATTATTGAGATTTGTGATTTTTTTTTTCTAATATGCTCTTTTATTTTATTAATAAATGAATAAATCCACATATACAAATTGTATAGTTGTTGAATTGATGCATTGGAGGTAACAATTCAAATGAAAGTCCTATTATTTTAACATTTAGTTCATGTAGATTAAACATTAATCCTTTGATTGAGAATGGTGTGTCTGAACTTATTGTTGAAGATGGTGTGTCTTGGAGGGAGGATCTACTAACAAGATGCTTTCCCCATTCAGAATATCAAGCAATTCTCCAAATTAAAACATTGAGTAGACACCTCCAAGATAAAGCCACATGGCCACTTAATCCTAAACAGACTTTCATAGTGGCTTCCACTTATGCTCACTTAATTTCTAATAAAATTTTGCAGCTAGACATTCCAGAAGGCAGCTCAAATTCTGCAAGCCTAAGAAGAATGAGAAACAGAAGTTGGAAGCTCAAAATAAAGGGCAAGGTAAAGCACTTCATTTGGAGAAGCTATAGTGGTATTCTTCCTGTGGCTGTTAACTTGCATAAGAGAGGACTCAAAGTTGATACCATATGCATGCTCTGTGGCCAAGAGCCTGAAACAACAGAACATGTCCTCTTCACTTGCCCAAGAGCTCAAAGAGTGTGGAGCCTATCTCCTGTTCATTGGGATGGGCCAGCTAGTTTCAAGAGCAGCTCCATACACTGGTGGACAGATCTTTGCTCAATCAAAGCTGATAAATCTTTTGAGACGGACTGCAACTTTCCACCTACATATTATGGCAACTATAAAAGACAAGGAATTTATGGATTTTTCAAAAGCTATGCACTCCGGAGATGATCATTGTCATCAATGCAGTTAAAGAATGGGTAGAATTTTCTTCTCTTTGATCTTCTAACCTTTTTTTCCTAGCTAGGCATTTGCAGTGGCTAGTTTTCTTTTATTGTCATGTATTAGTTAGCTTGATTAGTTTATTGTTGGTTGATTTTATTTGGCGAGTAACAGGAATCCGTCATTTCTTACGGCTGTTACTATTGCCTGATTGTGTTTTTTTTGTTTTCTAGGAAGCTACAAGCTCTCCTCTGATCCTCTTAGGATTGTGATCCACTGGATCCCGTGTACCATTTGAACTTCATTTTATGAGTATAGTTACTGTCGTTTCGAAAAAAAAAAATACATGTGTTCAAATTTAATAATACTGAAAATTGAGCATTGGAGAAGTGGGACAGGCCAGGAAAATGTGGGACACATGTCCAATAAACTGGAGTGGTATCCCAACTTAAAGTTTCTCTTTCAAAGTTTGGTGGACACAGATTTTCTCTATTGACAAGTCTGAGGTAGCGTAGACAACGATTCAACTAACAACGTACTTACTATGATAGCTTTGGAAGGCACGAAATCATTAGCTATTTCAGTAGGAGAGGATACCAGACAAGATGGTGATCAGCTGCACAATGAGGGTGGATGGAATTTATTGTTGTAGGTCTTAATGGAGTTGGTGGCTTGGAGTTTGTTTGATGTTTCCTTGTTACTTGTTAGAGTGATTTTCTGGTTTTTCTGTAGTGTTTTGGGAAATTTTTATGTATGCTATGTGATTTTAAATTAATTAGTAAAAATATTTATGTTTCTACCTAAAATACCTTATTTATATAACTTAATACCTAAAGTAAGTTACCATATCTTCACACTTCTATTCCTCTTTTTATGCCATTGATTAAGAGAGAGAAATGAAAATAAATAACTGACCATTTTAATTCCTTAATTCGCACACGTTTTTTATAGGAGAAATAAAAATATGTTTTGTAATTCACTAGTTGTCAGGTGGTATATATTGAGTTTATGTTAGTATATATTCAGTATATATTGAGTTTATGTAGACGCAATATATACCTCAGGTGGTATATATTGCGTTTATGTTAGTATATATTCAGTATATGTGCGCAACTGGAATTCCTTAATTCACGCAGTTGTCATGTGGTATATATTGTGTTTATGTTAGTATATATTCAGTATATGTTTCAATCAGTTTATGCTAAATATAAATTGATTTTATACATAAAAATTATGTCTCGCGATAAATTTCTTTATCATATACCGAGAATATACTGAATATAAACCATACATATAAAAAAAAAAAAAAA